GCACCCATGATGCCGGTGGGAATTTGGTTATGTTAGAGCCTAACCCTCCTCTCTCTGAAGTCAAATGGGGCCCCAGCACACTCCCACAGGCAGCAGCATCCATTCATGAAAAGTAACAGGTAGGGACCTGACTATATGCATTGCTTGATAGAGTAATGATTTCTTTAAACTGTTTCATTGATATATTTTATTCAGTGTGGTGCCTTTTGTGAACTCCCCACCCTCCCCTACATTCACTGTAGATGAAAATGAATGAATGAAAGAGGTTTTATGAACTGAACCCTCTGATTCTGGTATGTCTTCATTAAAGGCTTATTCGGTCTCCACTGTGTTTTTAGAATTATAATTTGTTACTACATTGTCTGAATGCCAGTAAAGTAACCCCTGTAGATAAAATAGAAACTAAAGTCAATATTATGAAGCTCTAAATTCAGGAGATCGAAGTGTTAACATTTTTGCCTATTTAGTGTTCTTCATAAAGTTTATTATTATGAAGTTAAATGTAGTTAAATTGGAGTTATTTTAATGTTTTGCAGATTAAGTGTATTTATAAAATCTTTTCTTAGAAGGTGCCAGTTATAGTGGAAATCAACAAAAATTAAGACATTCAACACTAGAGTAGGAATAATACTATTATTCTTTTGGGGATAGTGATGTTTTGACTATTACTATTTTCATTAGTAATCAAAAGAGTTTTATCAAATTTATTTAAAAAAAAAAAAAAAAAAGAGTCTTGATCACTCAACAGGGTATCAGGAAACACTTGCCCTCTCACCTCCCCATTTTACCCCAGATATTAATTTTTAAAAAATCTTCAAGTAATTAGATGCTGTGTTACTCTGCAAATCCTTTATAGTCATTATAACATTGTTAGCAAGGACCCAATCCTTCTAGCACAGTAAAATTTCACTGACTTCAACATAACATAGTAGGTCTTGAAGCAAGACTCATAAGGAAGGGCTTTAAAATAAAGTTCAAAACAACTTGTAATTACTTCTTAGAAATGTGCCCTATTTTTCAGCTATTGTTTATATGTATTTTTCCTCTTTGATCCATTTCTAAGCAAAGGTCATAGATTAGTAATTTTATTTTCAGATTCTCCTGGAAAATAATCAGAGACTCTGGAAATTTTCTACCCAGCTAAAATAAGTCAATGTTCAGGGTTTCAAATTCTGGCAAACCAGCTTCTCCAAGGTCTCGTAAAAATTCTGGACTCTTATCTCCATATGCCTGGTAGTCTTTTTTTTTGTGATCTTAATTAAAACTGTCTGTCCTTTCTCTGTGACTTCAGGAGAATGGCAATGAGTCACAAGAGCTCTGAAAAGGCTAGAAGGAGAGAGGCTGAGGTTAGCAGCTCAGAATCACTTAATCTGCTATATTTCATCCACAGAAAAGTAGATTCACAGCACTGCCACCTGCCTCTTAATTCAGGCGACTTCAAAACAAGTCACCATGGCAGAAAGCTGTATCACAGATAGCATCAGGAGACAGAGGCAGTCCTGGGTTTGGATTGAACCACAAAGAGATGCAAAATAAAATAATTAACTTGATATGGAACATCATTACTCTTGTAATTTTTACTCTTCTCGTATCTATTAGATCTATATCTTGTATCTATAATCTATTAGAACTTCTCAGTAATAGGTTTTCAACAATTTCTGGGTAGAACATACTCTTTTTAAAAATACAAAAGTGTGTGGAATGTGACATGATGAATACATGAGGCACAAAAATGACACTGAAACCATTATTGAAGTGTTATTAAGGGGAGAAATACTTAACCTTCAAAACATAATTTAGAAAATTACTTCACTATGATGTTATTATATTCTGTAGCATTTGTGACTGCTCTTTATTTCTCACACCTTGATATCCATTCTCCAAACTTAATTGATTTCCTGTCTTTTTTTTGAGTAATCTTCAGTTTTGAGGCCTTTTTTGCCAGTTAGAGGAAGCTTGCTTAAGAGGTGGGTCACTTCCCCAGCTCCTAGAGCCCCAGTCTCCTCCCCTTCTAAAATGAGAGAGAATTTCAGCAACAAATTGATCTGATGTTAGAACAGGAGGTGCTGGAAAATAAAATCTTAATGAAAGCCTTAATAAACTAATCGCATTCCTGAGGATCTGTATTCATAATCTGATGCTCAGGAAAGCAAAAATTAGTGTTTGACATGGTCCTTGGAAATGCAGTTCCTGATGAGGCAATCAGTTATGTAAAACTAAGCAAACGTTCATGTGCTCTGGTCCCATCATTCTCAGACTGAGTATCATCACTGTCTTTGGCCCCAAAATTTGGGGGAAAAGTTGAATGTCATGTGAGAATGATGCCATACGTCTGCAGCATCAACATGCTGGCTGCCTCCAGAGACTTGATGACCCCAGCACTCACTGGAGTTCAGAAAACCAAGTATCTCTGAAGATCTGGATCTTAGGTAATATCACTTTTTTTATTTTCAAAAAAAGTTGGGTACTTAAAACTATTAGAGGACCTGGATCTAAGCTCTGCACAGGGTCATGCTTTTCAAGTAGAATAAGGTTTGCTGATTAGACTGGATCTCTGTCAAACTGTGCAGTGCTGCCCTAATAAAGCAAAACATATATCTACCATGAAACAAATACTCTGAAATGAATAAATGCATTCCTGGTATAATTCTTCTGAAATCAGCACAAGAAATTACATTAGAAGCATCCTTCTTAGGAAAAATATTTTCTTTTTAATAAATATTTCTTCAGCATATAGTAATCTTAAAAGGTTCTCTTTTATCAAATTTATTTTGATTTCATGAAAACAGGTGCAACTATTAATATAAGCAGGCTTATCAGTTCAATTTCCTATTGAATATTCTTTTTGTTAGTATTCTTTATTTCTTTTTAGTTTCCTGCTTTATCATTCAGAAGGTTTGCACTGTATTCCTGTACATATTTGGTTTGGTGCCCAGAAATGTATTATTTTAACAGGGCTAGTTCATTAAAAGTTATTACTTTACAGCGGTTCTACCATGCATACATAATTATACATATGCCCTTCTACAATGAACAGTGTGGTAAAGTTACCATAAAGAAATTTTGCTTTTTAGGGTTTATCATGTCTGCTGTTTCAAGTCACATTGATTTGACTAATCTCAGCATCTAACTTTCTTCAATTATTTTTTTAAAAGGTATTAAACTGTCACAATGCAATTTTCTTTCTTTCTTGAGTAATATTAGTCCTTCAGAAACTTCTGGGACTTGAATTGTCCTCCCTTTGTGCTGTCCAAGGAAGAACGAAAGCATAGCTGCTAACACACAGACCTTGCCTCAGCCAAAGCCAGTAAGCCAGTTTTCAGTGACCTGCATAAGGATTGACTCTGATGCTCTCTCAAAATCTTTTTCAATTACTATATTTTTCAGTAGCTTCATGTTGCTCTATGAAGAGAGTAATACCTCCAGATATACAAAATATTTCTTTCTTAATTTTTTTTTTAAGACTTTGAGAAAGGTTTTAACGATCAATTTTATGACAAGAATCTAAGTGAATTTGTAAGATAAACAAGTAAGTAAAAAGAATGACATTTCCTTGCAACTATCTGTTTCTATGAAGCTGCACCAGAAGGCCACATAAGGGTAGAAAAAATTCTGCACAACCTTTGCTGAGAGTTGGCAGTAAAAGACTGACTATCAGTGTGAGCAGTGTTACAGAGCATTGTGCTGGTGTAGTTGGTCAGGAGCCAACATTTCCAAGCTGACCTGAAAAGCACGTTATATGCTAGTGCAACTTTAAAGTTACATAAATGTCTTCTGTACTGAGATACCTGATTTGCTTCCTGCAGCTGCGGAATGAATGAACAAAATCATCTGTTACACTTGAAGGAGACAGGACATTTAGCATTTTGCTGCTTTATTCTCATCATTGCCCACCTGGAGTTTTGGAGGATGGGTTTGAGACTACTTAAAGTAATCTACTTTGGCTTAGATTTTTTTTTTTTTTTTTTTTTTTTAGTACTATACTGACAGGGCTGCACATACTTTATCTTTTGTTACCCTATATACCCCACCTAAGTTGGCTATGTCCTTTGTCTGAGTGTTGATGGGACACCAAGTAATACTTTCACTCCAGGGGTTCCACAATTACAGAATTATTCTGACCTGCAAAGACACTTGTGAATATAAAGAATTAAGCATTCAATGAAACTTGGAACTGCTGTACTTATACTTTAAAATTGAAATTGTTTACAGAATCATTTTTAATCAATGGGAAATGGATCTAGAGCACAGAGAGCATTTTAGAGTTGTGGGGAAAAAAGAAAAAGAGAAAAAAAAATTTATATACCTCTACACAGCCAGTTCATGTTTGTGTATATTTGTCCATTGACATTGTTTTCTACTGTCATGTGACTATAAAGTGGTGTTTGGGGAATGACAGCATCCATGAAATGGTAAAGCAAAGGAAGTCTCTCACTCTCAATTCATACAAAACATATTAGGATGTAGTCGTGCATCTGTTGGTTTTACACTAGTTCCTCTAAACCTTTCAGAAGTTAATAGTGATTAAGTTTAAAAAAATGTTGAAGAGTGCTTTTCCTGATTATAAGTAGCTAAATTTATTCTCCATTAGTCAAATGTTGCAAACCCTGTAAATGTTCATTAAAGTTAAGGTATTCTTGCTCTAATGGCAGAAGGCTTGTTTCTTTCGTTTTGGCAGAGAAAGGCAGTGAATGTGTTCTTTACAATCGCTACCCTTTGCATGAGACATCAGCTTCCTTCAGCCTGATTCTCGTGGCTATCTAGTAAAAGCAAGAGCTTGAGGCATTTTTCAAAGAGTATAGGATATGTGATATCTTGACTAACATTTCTCTCTTGAAAACACACTGTAGTATGATGTGAGCTGTGCTGTTAAATGGTATTGTACAATTATCCTAAAAGCCTAGCTGCAACATTTTTACAGCCATTCCACCAGTCTCTGTGATAGTACTGTTGATTTTTTTTAATACGCTGTGTGAAAGTGATGATACACAAATCTTCTACTTAATAGTGTCTTTTTTTTTTTTTTTTCTCCACAAGATGAGGCTGTATTGAATGCAATTGCGCTGTGTGGGGTTAACTTTCTGTAGCCTGTTCCCTTTAACTTTAATGGCTTGAAATCAAAAATTAATTTCCACAACTTCAATGAGACTCAGTCCTGAAAATGTTGGCCCATTGATTTAATGAAACACTATTAAAAATTATTCTCTATTCACTTTCATACTAATTCTTAATAGTATCAGACCACTGATTCCACTATCATACTTTCGAGACCAAATGTTCAAACACTTCATAAAGACAAGAACAAACCTCAATATATTTAAGTGAAGACTTGTTTCTCGTGAATGTAGTTTCTTGACTCCAGATAAGCAGTACTGAATATTATTTCATATGAAAGAAAGAAGTATTTTTCAGGCTTTTTTTTCTAGTACCCTTTTATAAACTCTTTTGGGGGGAGTGTGGAAAAGATGAAAAATCCAGAATGACATTTTTAGTAACAAATGGATCAGCACTTCTCCTTGTCCTTCATGCAAGTAAAAGTCCAATATGATATACTCAAAATACTTATTTATGTTTGGTGGGGTTTTTTTTTGGTTTTTTGTTTTTTTTTTTTTGGTGATGCTTTGTTATGTGTGGTGTGGTGTTGGGGATTTTTTGTTTTGATTTTAGAGGGCAGGGAGTGGAGGAGGGGTTTGTCTGGTCAGTTTTGTTTGGAAGAATTCTGTAGTTTCCTAAAAAAATAAACTAAAAAATTAAACTGATAATGGATATAATCGGGGGGAGATGAGCATTTTTGCTTTTGCTTGTTTGAAATAGACTACAACTCAGTTATTACTCAAATTTATGACTGAATAAGGTGTGGTGCAGTTCCAACCACTACGCTGTACTAGAATGCTCTTCTTGGTCTCCCAGATGGAAAGTATAATCTGAATCGTTTTTTTTTTTTTTTTTTTTTTTTTGTCTTCCACCCATCCAGATCTCAGGTTTGGTATCCATTCGAGACATACACATGCCCTCTGATATTTATGTATTAAAATTTGCCTTGTTTGAACTCTTCAGATTTTGTCATTCCTTTAGGTTTTTTTGTTACAACCACTGATTTAACTTGAAATCTATTCCTCTACATGCAAGACAATTTTGCCATTTTCCTTCAGAAGCCAGACAATTTATAGATGAGCTCAGACCAAATAAATCAGGCAAGATGTATTTATAGGTCTAATATACCATATATATTAATATATATTTTTAATCACCATCATACTGTCACTCGTCAGAAATAATTAGCTGTGAGCAGGGCACACACATCTGCTATCCAAGCAGATACTATTGCTGGTATCCAGGCTAGGACACTTCAGAACAGACAGTGTTTAGAGTCAGTCACTGCATTCCACTTGTGTCCATTAGCGATGAGGTGAGCCTTCTTCGTTTCCCTGCACTAATTCACCTGAATGACTGTGTAACTATAATTATCTTTAGACTGAGCAATTTCTCCACAAGAGGACATTTACAGTAATTCTGAACAAAGAAATATAGATTCACACTCACATTAACTTTAGTACTTATTGGTAGAAAAAGGCATTGACGCATCTTCTGCTCCACAGCCTCTTTTCTCACTGCGTGAAGCCTTGGGAAATCCTCAGTTTTGCTTTCCAAACATGGACTGTGTCTCAGACAGTGGTCTCTATTTTGGGGTGACTAGATTTCTGAATATTCATGTATGAAAACCAGTGGTTTAACTTTCAAAGATACTGTTTGCCCCTGCCCCGCCCTGACTCTAAGCAAAGTTAATGAGAATTAAATTCTAGTTTCTCTATATGATAGTGAGGATTCAACCCTAGAACTCTTTTGAAAGGTTAGTATTAATTTTATATTCCTGCAGCATCATAACTGAATCTAATAATAAATCACTAGGTATCTGCTTGCAAAATACGTTATTTTTTAGATTATGGGATAAGGTGTGTATGTTAAAATGTTCAATATCAAAATTCAGTCCATACCTGAAGAAATATTGTTTGGTAACTATAAAGGTACATTCAGGTTAACATGTTTTGGATGTATATGGTATGTTTGGCTTTTTGTTGGGGTTTTTTGTTTGGTTGGTTGTTTTTGGCTTGGTTTTGTTTTGTTGGTTTTTTTTTTTTTTTTCCCTAAATGCTTGTTTTCCCTGAAGACTATATTAAGGGATATTCTTTCAGTTGGTAAAGATCTTCCTAACTAACAGTGAAGACAGTAGGTATTTAAACTCTATAAAATAATTAATTTAACTCAAGCTGTGTGTGTTCTCCTAACCAAGCAGCACCATATGAATGTATGTACACAGTCTATTACAGATATCAGGACTTATAAGTAGAAGGAAGACAGTATGATCAAGCATCATCTCTTGTAACAATAGGTTTGAAGCTTGCAGTCTCTCAAAAGTCAAATTATTTCTGCATTATTCCCACTCATGGACTCTTCTTCACCTAAAAAGCAAATGCAAAATAGTAATATTAGTGGAAATAGCAAGGACCCATAATAAGAATATTCTGAAAGCTAAGAATACTACTGCTATTTAAACTGAATATTTCTTCTTCCTATCTTCAAATACGCAAACTTTGAAGTATTATTAATGTACACCATTACACCAAAAGTGTAAGATGTACAATGAGTTCAAGAAAAATCTTAACCTTGTTTTTTTTCCACTTCAGGTGTCTGATATATCAGCTTTACTCATTTTATTAATTCAAGATTATTTTGCATATAATATTTTCTTTATTATGCAGATCTTCACCCCTTGTACTTCTCTGTAAGCTGACAACAGTTGAGTAAAACTGATTAAAATCAAAAGTTCAGCTTCAGAGAGAGTAATAGATTATAGTATATTCTAGATAAACCTAGTCGCTGTACTTGGTTGGGATATAGTGAAAGACTGGATACACAGAAAAGCTGTTATTGAATTGATGGCATAGAAAATACCATGGACTGTTAATAACATTCTTCAAGACAAAATGATAACTTTTTAATGCATTCAGTGATTGTATCTGAATATTGGAAGAATTACTGCTATAAGATCTGGATATCCCTTAAAAGATTAAAAATTACTTACACTTGTATGATAGTTTTTATCTGCATTTGGTTTAATTATTTTCGGAAGAAATATTGATTCAGTCCAGTTAAAGGCAGTAATTTTTCCTCTTAGTTTTTTAGTGATGAAACCTCCCATGATGCTACAGTATGAAACAAAAACATTTTTCCAGAAAATTGTTGCAGAAATCGAGAAGCTGAGGAGATGAATAGCGATTACTACAAGTCGCAACTAAAAATAAACTGTCATTGCGCAGAGGTTGTTGCTGTTGTTATAACATCTACTTGCATGAACTCTCTGATATTTCTTCTTGTTCCAGACTGAAAAGGCCAAATCTATATTAAATGAAATATGCTTGAAAATCTGTAGGAGGTTTTCTCTAGAATAAAGGACCCATGTCAAAAGAAATGATAGTCTGGCAGGAGGAGTTCCCTTACTTTTTCTTCTGTATGATGTATGGAGAAGAAAAAGTGACACTCTTAGCAAGTAGTAACTTTCACTAACCAGTCCTATCAAGGAACTAGTAAAAGAAACAATCTTTTTCTTTTTTTTTTTTTTTTTAAGCATGTGCAAATAAAGCAAATGCAGTCATTACTGGTTGTCAAGCTTTTCAAGATGAATGAGTATCCATCTAGGGCCAAAAAAAAAAAAAAAAAGGTATGATAAAGTCTCTAATGAATTTTGAACTAAGAGAAGATGTAATTTTCTTCCTATACATATCCCTATATACTCAAAATGTACGTATTATATATCCAAATGTATGTTGCCTCAAATGTATAATCAAGAGAATAATGGCAACATTTCATATTTAAAACTAACATATTGATGACCAGGCAATTGTGTTATATGTTTCCTTCAGAGTCCTAAAGTTGTCCTTCCAATATGTTGCCAATACCTACTGGTGAGTCTCAAAAGTCTCAAAGACATTTTCTATGTTGTCCACTCGCATATAAAAATGACATAATGTGATCCATCAGCAGTGAAAAGAGAATGTTAGGTAGCCTTTTTGAGTAACTTCCAGTGAATGAAGTAAAGCATTCAACTTTATCTAGACAGAAACTACAGTCCAGACCACTTTCTGATAATGAAAATACTTCGAAGTGGTGAGAAGACTTACAGCCAAAGAACAAAAAAGAAACTCACTCAGAGTTCAGCATATTTCAAATTTGATGCCATTTATGACCAGTCTGTGGGCTACCCTATCTGTGAAAAGGAAAATTAATATAAAGGTCTAGCAGAGAACTAAAAAGATCTCAGATTATTTTCTGATTTTGTAGAAATTAAACTCCCCAAGCAAGGAATTCTGAAGAGTGAAAAGTGAGGACACTTTGTTGAGTGCTGCATGTCACATTTGTTAGTTTTTCTCAGTGGTTAGCAATGGTTAGTATGAATAGCAATGATGGAAGTGCAAGTAAGGTGGATGGAGGTCTAACTCTGAAGTGAACAAAGCTACCTCTTTAAGGTTTCTGATAAACTAAATATGAATACTAAAAAGGTTGGTTTGTTTTTTAACCCAAGAGAAGTTTGAAATTGAAAGAGCAAGATTTGAGACGGGTTTAAACTTTGAAGGCCTCCTATGAATATGCTCAATACTTTAATTTCTTGATTAAGAAAAAAAGGAAGGAAAGAATTCAGACAATCAGCTTCTTAATGGTGAGAACTGAAGCTGCAGAATAATAAATAGTTGTAAATAAGAATGGTACTATGTTAGAGATGCCTGTGCCTGGACAAGGAGGCATTTTCAGACAGGACAGTCTGCATTCAAGTCTTTGACACATATATTTCTTTACAAGTTTTGATTATTTTTGGAAAAACACTAAGACCATAGATCAAAGTGTTTATTTCTCTTACGTATGCTTGAAGTTTCAGAAACTGTTAGCAGAGCCCCAGATCTACATGACTGCCTACCTGGGACCATGCTACGCAGGAACATGATGCATTGTCTTCTTCAGTGAGTTGAAAAATAATGCTGCTGTTACAAATCAGAAAAAAAAAAACAACCAATCAACCAAACAAAAAAAACCCCGCAACTGTGGAGAAGCATGGCTTTAAGGACCTAGCAGAGCTTTAAACTGCACTGGATGCTTAGAACCTCTGCTGCTGAGGGACCCCAGCACTCACTTATATGCTGTTGGTTTTGGTGCCGATTGGGACTTACAACCTGGGTGGTAAGTAAGGAAACACAGGTATGAGTAGTCTTGTGAATATTCTTGTTTCATGTTCGCTGCTGTATGACTCAGCAGAGCACTGATGGTAGCTACCGAAGAAGAAAGGATATATTGGACTGTACTAGGCTTCTCTGAAAGAGTGAAAGCTCAATGCTTTTTTGCTGTATGTACAATTAACTTGGATTCATTCATGAAAATAAAGAATTAGGAGAAAAAGAGCATGTTAGGTTTCTGTTTCTTCTGAGTTAGGAGGGAATGACTAGTGAGGGAAAGGATAAGAATCCTCCTCTAAGCAGAGACAAAAACCTTGAGCTGCTTATTGATACTATCTTTCCAGGACACACCAACAGCTGCTTCCACAAATTATTTTGGTTTAGGAACACTGAGAGAGGCTAAAGATAAATGTAAATAAATAAATAAAATGAAAAAGTGGGTTGACTAGCCCCATGTCCTTTAAAAGTTTCACTTATCTTATGGATGAGCAGGACCAAAAATCTGAATGTGGTGAGAACACAGGATAATATGCTGGTATCTCTTAGAAGCCCTGGAGATAAAAAGCATCTACATGATTCAGTTTTCTGCTTTCTTGAATTAAGCTTCTTATCAGGCTGTGTGGTATGAATCAGGTTTTTGTGGAGGTTGAAGCAGCACGATTTAGTTGTGGTCTCCATGACCCCAATTTGATGCCAACAAAGTAGCAGATTACTCTACTTTGCAGGCATAACACCGGCCTCGATGAGAAGGGAAATGGATACACAGGTGCTAAAACTGCCTGAAGGAACATTACAGGTTACACACTCTCTGCAGAAGTGGGTAGAGTCTGGAGAAACTAGCTGGCTGCCCCTTGATCTTCTGCTGGAGCTGCTAGAAAATTTGTGGGGGTTCACCACTGCAGGAAACCTCTGGTGCTAAGAGATAACACATTCACTAAAATGTGGGGCCACAGCAAAGTATGCAACACGAGAGAAATTGACTTTAATACTGATGTTCCAGCCTTGGAAAATTAGCCGTCCTTTGTTATTACACAGTAGGCCAGAGGTGCTCCTTTGCTTGCACGTGGAGAGTGAATTGGGCTAGCTGATGGTAGAGAAAACCCGATCCTCCGTCCTGAGGCAACTTCAGTGGTCAAACCTGAGCCTAGGTACGTACCTCTGGGCATGTGAGCAATGTATCGGCATTTCTCTGCTGTGGACTCGCCATCCTCATACGGCTCTCAGCTGCCAGTACCAATGAGCGAGATCCTAAGATTAGCCTCAAACCTTGGCTGCTTTTTCCCAGCGGCAGCGCAGTGTGCTAATCGCTGAGCCATTGGGATAGCCCTGTAGGGCATTCTTCTAATAGTTTTTCTAGTTCTTCCACTGATGTCCTTATACATCTTTTATGATTTCGATAGTGATGCTACTTTCCCCAGGCACTTTCCTTCTATCTTACTCTCTGCTTGCTTTTCTTCTGAATACAGGGGGGAGGGGGGCTACCTTAATCTTGCCCTTCATTCCCAGTGCAACCTTTCAGAAAAGGCATTTCCCTCATCTGCTCTTCCAGCCCCGAGTACATGTCAAAGAATTGTGAAGATGGAAAATATTTGAGTACTTCCTATTTAAGTTTTGATGGTCTTTTTCCTGACTTCATGTTCTATTTAGAGGTTTTTCTTCTAAACAGATGAACAGCCAGTTCTTTTGGATTTAAAATTAAACTCCAAATATTTTCTTTAAACTGCTCTCATTGCTTTTACAAAGGAATGAAAACAAAATGCAGCATGTGACATCATTTGAAGGAGAAAATTATGTTATCTTATATAGTTCTAGAAAGAAACTGTATTTTTTTAACTGCAGCTCTTCTCTAATGTGCACTGTTGATAAATAGTAAAAAGGAATTCTTTCCTAACTATATATTTCTCTCACATTATACATATATAAATTCCTTTGAGAATAACTTTAGCAATATAACTTGAGATGGGAGATAGCTGATATATATGAGGTATTAATATGAAAAATATTTTCACTGCATGTATGTTATAAAACTCTTGGAATATAACAGGCAACAAAAGTATAGGTCGGTTAAAGAGTTTCCTTATCCCTCTTCTGCCCCTAATTTTTTTCCTCCAGTTCCATCTTCTGTTGTTTTCTTCTCTGTTATTTTCATTTCCCTTCTCATCTTCCATTCACTATTATGCAGGGCACCTTTTAAGGAGCTTCTTTTGCTTCACACTGACAATACCTATTGGTAGCAGCGACTAAAGCAACAGTCAGTGGACACTTGTAGAGATGGCGAGTTGTAAAATAATAAATCGAATATTTAATACTTAGGCAGAAGATGTGGACTTTATCTACACTTAATGGGTGGGGAGGCTGATTACTCATTCATAGCTACGGCACTTGTGAATGATGAGGTCACCCCTATCTCAGGAAGATAAATGCCATATCCTGTTATGACATATTCCTTTTATATAAAATTAGTTCAATTTTCTCACTAGTGAGGAATCAGGATAACTTAAAAAAAAATCACTTCAAGATAAAGGCATTTTTCTACTGTAATTCATTATATATCCTATTTTCATTTTATTTTATTTCTGTTCTGTTTTGTTCTATCTTATCCTGTTCTACGTATAGTATTTTCTCTCTACCTAAATGATATCTGACTAAAGTGAAGCAAAAATTTGATGATACAATGAAGCTTTGTAGCATTCTCTCTCATACCTGTCACAGGCTCCTTCCAACAGCAGATAATGAAAATTCAAAGTCAAACCATTTAACTTTAAGTAAATGGAAATGAATTTCCAGAGAAGAGATATTTTTTCACCTGTGAAAGAAAGGAACAGTAGTACACTGACAATGCGAATAAAGATATAATATATAATTGTGATAGAGAGGTATATGTAAAGCATAAATATTAAATGTTATTATATTACACACTGTCATGTGGTTTTAATTTTTATCTTTACTATGTTTTTGCCTGAGAGAGGAAGGTCTACAGTACATTTTTAGAAACAGCAGTACTCTATTAGAAGATTTCTTAGCTTAATCAATACTGAAGCAACTTACAGAATATCTTACAATAGTATATTGTATTGAGATAAAAACTATGTCACTCAGACACCAGAACCTGTCAATAATGTGAGCAAAATGAGAAATAAACTAAATTAAAAATATTGGGCTTGATTCTCATCTCATTTACATTAGCATACTGCACTGAATTAATTTAAATCCACCATGATATGTTGTAGCACTGGTGAAATATGTGGCGAACTGGGTCCGTGCTATTTAATATGGCACAAAGTATAACCCTGATGATGGATATTTTCATCGGTGTATAACATAAGTCTCAGAAATTCTTACTGGATTTTACCATCATGATTAATTTGGGGAAAAAAGATGCAATCAATCAAAATGGACTTTTCAGACATGAGATAATTTTTTTTTATTTGATATCTTTTAAGGGCTATGAGAAAGAAAATGCTTCTGTATTCTGTAGACATTCACAAATTTACCTTTGAATCCTGGTTGTCTCATAACACACAAAACTATTTGTCAGTAGTTCCACTGATTCACTGGGACTACTTGTACAAGCAAAGTTATCAAGGCTGACTTTTCAGTTACATTAACACTTAAATTAAGATATTAATCAATAGTCGTAAAAGATCTTATTAAATATCAAGAGATCCTGGTTCTGCCTACATGGATGAAAAGTGGTGACTTTCGGGACTAAGCTGAAGCAAGCTTGGCTAAAGGCAGGCTCTCTGTCCTGGCTGTCCCTTTGAAACATGAAAATCTGCTTAGAGTTGCCACTGTAGAACAGAGAGTGACAATCAATGGATGGGGACTTCGACATGATTACATCCACTCTACTGCCTGGCCATACATTGACAGACAAAACTACTGTAATGGAGTGATCATTTGGAAAATGGCTACTGCCCACATTTAAATTCCTTTCAGTGTTATTCCATAGCCAATTAGAGTGGTAGCCCAGCCTATATTCATGCCAGTCTTGTTCTATATTGTAAGAAAAAGGAAAGGAGCAGCTCAGAAGTCTTTAATTATTCCTCCAGCCATTTATTGACCTGCTCTCTAAAGGCCATATACGGGCCTTCATCTGCATGCAAAATTCCTATTGACATCACTGGGAGGGCCACAGACAGATGGAGGGTACTTTGTAAACCTTACATGTTAAATATGTTGTAAAAGAAAGGCGCAGAATTTGCAGTCATTTAAAAAAGTGAGCAGCTTTATCTAATATTGCTCTTGAAACATGGAGTTTGAATAACATTTTTCCTAGCAATAACATCCCCCCTCTTCTCCACAAGCTAACCTACACGTTTCTGTAAAGTCTTCATATTTAACACTCAAACAATTGATGTCCCTATAGTATAAACAGGATAGATAATGAATATAAGTGGGATAGAAAATTAATCCTACTTGCGAGGAAAGAGAGTCATAATTCACTTAGGCTTCTCAGCTCTTACGTTACGAGGTCTTCAGCTAACTCATGGGATCCATTCCACATCCCACAGATGCTCATTATGAATTCTTTTATGTGCAACATGTGGGGACTAACCAGTTTCATATCTCCTGGTATTAGCTGCAATCCAAAGCATTTTGTATTAAAACGGAATGCAAACACAGATGCTATTTAATACAAAGGATTTGAATGCAGTCTCTGTTTTAACATAAAGTTGGTGTGTCTTAATTTGGTTTGGAACAGCAACGGAAAGAAAAGTCAAGATAAGAGGATATTGTTAGATTAGGAGCCAAGCTACGATTCCAAGAGGCACAAAGTTGCATGGGAAAAGGGGAGACTGGCCCAGGTGACAGCTTTGATTTATGGAAGCAAAGGTTACAATGCCTTTGGAGCGATGGGGCAGCCTGGGACATCTGGTCCCTTCAGAGATACTGCCGTAGCCTTTCCAACACCAGGCGTATTCTGGAGTGCAACCTGTACTCTGTCCCACGCAACTCCTCCCGGTGGGACCCTCGGTTTCCTCAGAAGCGAGTCACCAGTGGAGCTGCTGGCGGTGTAAGGTGCACTACCACTGGGCGTTACTTTCTCCTCTAGCTGTCCGCTCACTGGGCTGGCCAAGACTCCGCTGCCCCCCCCCCCCCCCCCCCCCGCACGCACGGTACTTTCAGCTCGAGCAACCGGCAGCTTGGAGCTACAGGTTTCGGCGTCACCCCAGAAGCGGGGAGATTTGGTGGGACCCCGCTAGGGGTGGGGTGTGTCCATTTTTCTCCCGTTCCCCTGCTGCCCCTGCCCCCGCACGCCGCTCTTCCCCCCTCCTCCCTCCCTCCCCCCACCCCCCGCCCTCCCGGACGGGCTCCTCACCCCCTCGTCTCCCGCGGCGGCTGCGGGGAGGGGGGGGCCGGGGAGCGCAGCCCCGCCAGGCTCCTGTGGCCCGCAGGGGTCTTGCAGCCGCCCCCCACCCGCAGCAAGAGCCCCCGGGGGCGAGAGGCGGAGGCGGGGGGGGGGGGGGGGGGGGGGGGGGGGGGAGAGCGTCCCGCCGCCGACCCGCGCTCCCCGCCCAACTTCCCGCGCTTCCCTCCCGGCGCCCGCCCCCGCGCAGCGCCGCGGCCGGGCGCACTCGGCGGCGGGGGGCCCCGGCCCCGGCCCCGGCCCCGGCCCCGGCCCCGGCCCCGGCGGGCTGGCGGGGCGAGCCCTTGGCGGAGGGCACACCGCGCGGAGCGCAGGGCGGAGCGGGGCTGCGCGCAGCCCCGGGGTGGCACAAAGGAGCCGCGGAGGCTGCGGCCGCGCGTCCCGCCGGGGCCGCGCCGCCCGCCGCGCCGCTGCTGCCGCCGTGCGCGCCGCGCCCTGGGGGGAGCCCGGCCGGGGGCTTTTGCTCGGCTCCCGGCGGTATAATTGGTATGTTGGAGCAGCCGCAGGGATCAGTGCGTGCACACACACCACACACCTTACAAGTTTGACTAGCAATAACATTGCTGCACACTAGGAGGGGAGGAGAGTCAGCTCCCTATAATAGGGGAGAAACTCTGCCATTGCACAAAAGCGGCGCATTTCCTCGCTTGTGAAAACCGTCCCTTCATAGAGAGAAAGAAAAAGGGGGGTGGGGGTGGGAAGCAAAAGCAAAAGCAAGTTACCAAGAGCAAGAACTTGTGCTGCAACAATCCACCACTCTTCCTCTTCTCCTCAGGACTTTGGGAGCAGGGATATTCCTCCCCCCTCCCCCCCCGCGCAGTTGGCGCTAGCCCAGACTGTGGTCAGCCGCCTTTATTATTACTTCATTGAGACAGAGAAATCCTCTAAGACTTGCGTTTTGGGTGGAGGGTGGGGGGTGGAGGGACGAGAAGGAGGAGGGAAAAAAGGCAACATTTGCTGCTCATCATTTTCACTGCACCGCTAAAGTAATTGCGCCCCCCTCTCTCCTCCCTGTCCCTCCTCAGCTTGGATTTTTCTCTTGTATCTACAGCTCCAGTGGTATTAGACATACCTTTTTTTTTTTTTTTTTTTTTTTTTTTTTGGTAGCTCTGCTATTCCACCCTTCCCCTCCCTCCCCCCCTTTCCTCTCCCCCTCCCCTCCCCCCCCCCCCCAAAAAAAAAAATCTTCACGCGTTGCATGTTTGCAGTTCGGTAAAATTCCCCCCCCCCCTTACCCCCAGCCCCCCCAAACTCTTCTCCATCTCAACCCAGCAGCTCACATCAAAGCGCCCTTCCTCACTCACAGTGGCCGCCGCTCACTAATGGGATTGCAGCGTGCCTGGCTCTGCTGCTGCAGCCGCCGGAGGGAGAGCCGCTGCTGCTGCACCTCTTCGCCGACACTCGCCGGGTGCTGAGCCGCGGGGATGATCAGGATCTTCCCGGATTTCAGCGTGCAGGTGACGGCGGCGGCGGCCGGCGGGGCGGCCGGGGGGGTGCCGGCGGCGCCGGGCATGGGGCGAGCCGGCGCCGCGGCCAACGGCAACCCGCAAAACGTCCAGGGCATCACCTCCTACCAACAACGGTGAGCACCGAGTGGGAGAGGGCTGTGCGGCTCTTCCTGAGGCTCCCTCACTTGCTTTTTCTTTGTGCTTTTGTGTTTCTTTGTTTTCCTTTTTTTTTTTTTTTTTTTTTTTTTTTTATCTCTCCTTGCTGTTTGTTGGGGGGGGAGCTTGGTTGGAGGGGAGGGTTTTTTCTTTCTTCTTTTTTTTTTTTTTTTTTTTTTTAAATACAGCATCTTTTAAAATGCACTGAGAAGTAAACACAATCTCCTAGTTTTGTCTTGGATGAGCTGGAAAGCAACAATAGGAAAAAAAAAAAAAAAAAGAAAAAAAAAAAAAAGTAAGACCCCGGCAGCTTAGCTTGGCTGCTGCAAAGTTTGGGATCCCGTCCGCTCATCCTTTCTAAAGAGGAATTTCTCAATGTCAATGCCTTGTGCAAATCCCAGTGTGTGGCAGCCAGGGGGATAATTGATCACGGTATGCTGATTGATAATTTGCTTTCAGCCAAGAAAGAGAACAATTTTCACTTGGGGTTGCACACTTGCAATTCCACATTGTAGTTTAACAGTATTATCATGTCACCTGTTACTACAGGGAAATATAGCACGAAACCCTGAAGTATACTCAGCACTGTTATTTTTTTCATCTTAAATGCATTCTAATGCAAATGCAGGAAATTCACAGAGAGCGCCTTTAGGAAGCAAAGCGTAGAAAGTTGGCAGTAAGTCATAATGAAGTTTAAAGACCTTACCCATTTCCCCTAACAATTCGTCGATATGTGCTGATACTAACATGAAGCTTAATTAATTACCTGACATTTCTTTGTGTTTCTACGAGGCAAAGCCTGAAGTTTGAATCTGTTAGTTTTCGCTACCATAATCGTATAAATGAAGCCGAATCCTCAAAAAAAAAAAAAAAAAAAAAAAGTAGATGACAACAGATACATATAGGCTGAAATCGGAGCAAAACATTTACATTTCTCTAAATGCAATAAAAATGGCACTGTCCCAAGTATCTTGTTTTCCACTATTGCATTAAATTAAATAGCAAGAAAAATGCAGTATAATCTTAAATATCCGAACTAAATACCTCTATGATGTAAAAGAAAAAAAAAATCATAGGAATTTTCAGTGTAATATTTCAAACTTAATTGGTTTAGGAGCCAGATTTAGATAATCGACGTGTTTTGTTGTTTAGCAACTTCGAGTTGCTTCCTGTAGTTTTGGAAAACACATGAAGTATTTTCCAATTGATGCCCATGTTAGAAAACGTTTGGTTGTAACTTCTGTAGGTTTTAGTAGATGAAAAATTAATAGGAAGCTGATACTCCTGAAATAATCCCTGATGATGCCTAAGCACTTTCTTAGCTGAGAAACATTTGAAACTAAGTACGACTCTTGTTTTGCTCAAGCAAACACACCGATTTTTCATATATTAAAAAAAAAAAAATAACCAAACTTGAATGTGACAGATAAAGAATGGATTAAAGTTTATTTCTTTTCATGGTTTCTGTATGATTTTTGTCACTTATAAAATATTTAAATTACAATGGAAACTGACGGACACTTTAACGAGGAAGTACAGGCAGCAATCACAATAGTTTAGTCTGTGAAGTGGGGAAGTCAAGGGTCAGAAATGTCAGATTGGCTTTTAGACAAATGAAAGAGACCTCTGGAGACTTTACGTTAAACAGAAATATATAGACAAGGCAGCATGCAATTTTTTAGTACTTCGCGTTTAATAGTTTGATTATGTCAGTCTGTAATCAGGAGGAAGTTATAAAAGCAATACTTCTCTGACAAGCTACTAACACCTCTAATTCAAATAGTGCTTAGCAGACATCCAAGTACTTTGACTAATAGGAATCCAGACCAGTCTGGACGTCTCGCACACTAAACCTAACAAGGGGAAACATTTTTGCACTTCTTCCAAATTTTGACTATATATTATCGAGAAAACAGCGTGCTTTACGTCGAACGATTTTTCTTCGTGCTTTCTGGAAACGCTTAAAATATAGCAGACACCGACACCTCCTTACGCTATTGCAAAAGCCGAGGTGACACCTGTTAACTTTTTTTTTTTTTTTTTTTTTTTTTTTTTCCTCCCCCTTTTTGGAGGCGAGGATTTGCCGGCAGGGAACGGCATGTGGTGCTTTCTAGACACCCCACCCCGCCTCTAGTTCTTCATCCCCCCCCTGCACCCCCGGCCGCCTCCCTCCCGCCTCTCCGCCGCGCGGCCAGCTCCGCGGTGCCGCCTCCGCGGGGTGGCGGGACCCGGGGCCGGGCGGCCGCACGTGCGCAGCGCAGCGCGGGGCGGGAGGCGGCTCCCCCCTTCTCGGTGTGTGTGTGTGTGTGTGTTCCCCCCCCCCCCCCCCCCCCGCCCCCATCTCCGGGGCTGCTCGGACAGCTCCGCGCAAAGTTACGCTGGGCCGGTTGCCTCCTGCGGGAAGAAACCCTCCGGCCCCCGGTGCGCGGACGACGCCCCGCAGCCAAACTTTCAGGTGCTTTGCTAAACTTCTTCCCCACCGGCTCTCCCCTGCGGCTCACACGCGCGGTCACACCCTGCCCCCCCCTCCCCCCCCCCCCCCCCCCCCCGCAAGCTCCCCCCTCCCCTTTTAAACTTTTGGAGTTATCGCGGAAGCGTTTCTCGTGCCTAAATCCCGCCGGCTTTCGGGGCTTGCTCCTTTCCCCCAGGAAGCCCGCTGGGCTTTCCCAGGGAGCAGGATCAGGCCCAGGAAGCTGCACTCCCAAGGCAGCAGCAGAGCAGCTACAAAGTTGCCTTGGAGATGGAAAGCTTTTAGCAATTCCCCCTTTAAAAGCTCTCAGCCCTCGGGTTTCCCCGATGTCCTGGAAGGAACAATTCAGGTAGCGGTTTCTTTTCCCCGCTCCTTTATTTCGTGATTAGTTTCATCATCTCCAATAAAGCAGCGTGAAGTGCTACACCCTTTCCCAGCAGAGCGGGTCATCCCTCTCCGTTAACGTTTCCAGCATCACGCCCTCCTTTATTCCACCCGTACCTGGCGGGCACTCTCATGACGGGCGTGCGCCTTCTCGGAGGGGGCCGAGGGGGTGCGTGGGGTCCCCCCGGGCCCACGCCGTCCCCGCGGGCGGGCGCCAGGCAGCCCCGCGTAGGGCCCTGTGGGCCGCAGGGCGCTCTCATCTCTCCCCCCCCTCCTCCCCACTCCGGCCCGCGTCCCTGCCCGGGCCCGTCCTCCGCCGTCGGAGCCCACGGGGGAGACGGCGCCTGCCCGCGGTGCGCACCCGCGGAGTTGCAGAGAGAGCGCCTGCCTCCCTCCCTCAACCCCCTCTTCCCTGCTGGAGCCCAGACTCCGGAGGAGGAAAGTGTGCGAAACTGCAACTGAGTGGCGTTGTTGCGCCGGCAGCGGCGGCTGTGTCCCCTGCACGCAGAGTGGGAGCGGAGCTGGGGAAGCAGCTGGAAAATGCCCAGAAATACTTTCACAGCGGTCAAGCCCGGAGATCCCTGACTCCCCTCCTTCCCTCCCCCGCCCCCGCCCCGCTCGCCCCATGGCCCGGCACCCCGCGTAGCCCGGCCCGCGGGCGCGGGGGGTGCGAGTGGGTGCGAGTGTGTATGTGTGTGCGTGTGTGTGTGCGTGTGTGTGTGCCGCACCTGCCGGGCGATGCCAGCGGCCGGGCTGCCCGCCGGGGCTGCGCCGCGGCTCGCTCCCCCCGCCGCCGCCGCCGCCGCCGCCGCCGCCGCCGCCGCCGCCGGCCGCCGCCGCTGCCTGCGCTGGGCATGTCTCTGGGGCCGGCGGGGCCCCGGCTCCCTCCGCTCCTCGGCTTATGGACGGCGGCAGCGGCAGCAGCAGCGCTAGCAAGCCAGCGAGCAAGCAACCTGCACCAGGACTGCGCGGAGGAGTGGGAGCCCGCGATGCTTTGGCCTCAGTACTTTTCCCTAGCCTGTCTGGCTAACCAGGGCCATTGCTGCCGCCGCTGCTGCTGCTAGACACACAACACACACCAACATCAGAAGGGGGAAAAGTAAGGGAGAGAGGAGGAAAAAAAAAAAAAAAAAAAAAAATCCCAGGAAGATGGCGCCCACCAAGCCAAGCTTTCAGCAGGATCCTTCCAGGCGAGAACGGTAACACTTTCTCTTTATTGAACCTGCAGCAGCAGCAGCCGCAGCAGCGCCGGGCCGGGCTGTGCCGCCGCCGCCGGGGGCCGGGGCTGGCTGCCATGGCGGGGTGGGGGGACCTGCCGCCGGCCCCCGCCGCTCGCCCGGCCGGGCACCGGGAGTTCCTGCTAGTGCGTACCGCCAGCCGCGCACACAC